TAATGAATCCTCTTCTGAGAATAGACTTGAATCAGGCAAAATGAAGGGGCCCCAGTTTAAAACACTCCACTTCTGCTCTTTGTGGGGAAAAAAAGAGTCTGCCTTGTTCCTAAGGACTCTAGAATGAAGCTCTCTAGACAGATTGTCTTGTCCACATACAGGGATTGGATTCAGCTGTGTCATTCAGATGAATGATCCATAGCAGCAAGAAGGAAGAATGGAAACTGCTCTTCTATTCACAAATTGGAACACACAACCAAAACCTAGGAGAAACTGGAGAAAACAGCACAAAGGGGAAAAATCCCAGGAAACAGAAAAACTGATCCCCTTCACCACAGGGGGCAAATCTAGAGCACAAAAGAATGTGCACAATATTGTAATTAATTTCTTCAAAGGATTTGAAAAAGAGAGAAAGTAATGTTTCCATTAAAAGTCAGTGAACAACATAAGTTTATGATATTTTCAAAAATTGCTAAAATCAAAGTCATGAAGTTATTGTAAGTGAAAATACCATTCATAAGATGTAAGAAAAGTCAAGAAAGTCTCCTAAAACTTAGGTAAAGAAAAAAGGATGGAAACAAACAAGGCAAAGCTAAATTATATAGAAGATTCTGGAATGAAAATAACAAGGAAATAAGATTCAGAAGTATCATAGTTCTCAGAAATGTCATTTCAAAAAACAGAGAAGAAAGACTATTAAAGCACAATATTTTTTCCCAAATACTCTCTGAGAAAAGAAAGTGTGTTGTCAAATAACAAAAAAGGGAGCAGGGCTAGCAGAGTCACTCCAGTGAGAGAGCAAGAAAGCCCTGAGTTCAAACCCCAGTACCATTAAAAAAAAGAACAGACTCACAAATAGCGGAGGACCCAGCAAGTAGCAGCCAGGACAGGAACAAGCTAGAAAATTTCAAGATAATTTCCTCTTTCCAAAGATTCCATTTTGTAGAACAAGTACATCTTGTATGTTACCTTGATTTATTTATTTTTTGTGGAGTGTGTGTGTGTGTGTGTGTGTGTGTGTGTGTGTGTGTGTGAGTGAATTGGAATGTCCTCAATAGTGCTGATTTTCTTGTAATCGTCACACCTCTTAGGGCACAGCAATTTATACTAGCAATTAAAACATACACTAAGATATTTACATGGCTAGAAAGATTCAACAGCAAAAAGAAAGTCAGTTCTTCCTATTTTCTTTAAATTCGTTATACTCTCATCCCCATTTCCAAGAAAATATTTAGGAAAATACCTCAGTCATTAAATACTAACACAGTGTGACATAGGTGTATGAATAGACAGACTGTTGGAACAGAGTTTAAAGCCTAGAAATAAATCATATACTTACAGAAGTTTAATACACAATAAAGATATCATCAGTGGAGAAAAAAAATGCTGTCTTTGGTACATCATGTTGTTATTACAGGATATTCATCTGGGAAGAAAAGATGCTGGATCCATACCTTTCACCATGAACCAGGATTAACTTCAAACAGATCAAAGATCTAAATGCTTGAAAAAGAAGAAAAATCCATAAAAATAACTTAAGGAAAATATGTGAAGAAAACATGGAGAAAGCCATGTTTGAAAACATGAAAAGAATCACATTTCACAATTAGAAGTTTTGAATAGCAAAAAAAAAAGGCATAAACAAAGTCAAATAAATGAGCAGGCTGAAGATGTGTCTCAGTGGTAGAGTACTTGCCTAGCATGTGCAAGAAGGCCCTGGGTTCGATCCCCAGCACTACAAAAAAAAAAAAAATGTCAAATAAAAGAAAAATATTGCCACACATATTAAAGACAGAGGGCTATTTTTCTTAAGATACAAAGAACTCATCAAAACATGTAAGAAAATAACTATTTTCCCAGTAGAAAAATGGGCCAAGGATGTCAACAGAAAGGGAAATACCTTTAAATATATGAAAAGTTGCACAACTTCCAATACAGGCATGTAAAATAAACATGCCCAAACACAATACTGACAAAAATCCTGAAAGGGAAGACAAGCACGCATTTCATCAGTTCGAAAAGTGGAGCGCATTGAACCAAGAATAGGCTGCCCTGAGTCTGCACACATAATATCATCAATAGACCTGTCACCAGGTGTTGCCTCATACCTGTAATCCTTGCTACTTGGAGACTGAGATCGGGAGGATCCCAGTTTGAGGCCAGCCCAAGCAAGTAGTTTAGGAGACCCCCTCTCAAAATAACCAGAGTAATATGGACTAGAGGCATGACTCAAGCGGTAGAGAGGCTCCTTTGCAAGAGCAAAGCCTTGACTTCAAACCTCAGTCTCACCAAAAAAATAAATAAATAAACATGTCTTGGATTTCTAGCCTAATATAAAATATTTTACCTATTGACCATATGCTCAATATATGATAGTTCTATGGATACTCCTCAGTGTTACAGTGGAATTTTCATTCTCATATTTGTCATTGAGCTAAGTGTGGTGGTACAGACTTGTAATCCACAGCATTCAGGAGGCTGAGGCAGGAAGATCATGTGTTCTAGGCCTGAGCTACATAGCAAAATAATCTGAAACCAAAAAACCAGAAATGTTTATCATTGATATAAACGGGTCATTATATAAGCCAAATATATAATAAAACTGAAAAAACATTGTTTTGGTGTGCACTGTAGCTATCTGATTCTAAGAGGAATTCTACAGAATTTTGTTGACTTTTTTTTTTTCTTTTGTGGTACCAGGGCTTTGAACTCAGGGTTCAAGCCACCTTGAGCCACTCCAGCAGCCCTCTTTTGTTTTCTCATGATAGGGTCTCATAGAACTATTTGCCCAGGCTGGCTTCGAACCCCTATCCTCCTGATCTCTGCCTCTCAGTAGCTAGGATTACAGGCATGAGCCACTGGCACCCAGCTTTTGTTGACTTTTATAGTATTTTTTACCTGGATTTCAGAAACCATGCTAATACTGTTAGATGAACAAAAGTAGTGCTGTGAGCCAAGTGGGGATGATCCTAGTCTGGACAACAAAGACATGAATCTCCCTTCTAATCTCCTGGCCAACATCAAGAAAGATCTCTTTCCTTACCTGCAACAGAGGGAAACCTGAGAGAAACAAAACCATGGCCTCCTGCAGAGTATTTGAGGACCAGAGCTGTCCACCTGCCACACTCTCAACTTTTTCCTTTTTCTCTCCTTGTCTCTATTTCCCATCTCTTCCTTCCCCACCAAGTATGATAACTAAACTTTCCTTTACCTTATGTATCTGTAGAATACTAGGAAGTTGTGTTGGAGGTAGTTTTTCCTATATTATTTTATCTTCATACTGAAACCAAAAAATTTATGGCTAGCAGAGAGATGTCAATGTCAGATAAAACTATTTATCTAACAACAGCCTCTCTTTACTAGCCATAATATCATCAACAATAGACCTGTCACCAGGTGTTGCCTCATACCTGTAATCCTCGCTACTTGGAGACTGAGATCAGGAGGATCCCAGTCTGGCTCAAATGGTAGAGTGCCTACCTCGAAAGCACAAAACCCTGAGTACAAACCCAGTACCACCAAAAAAAAAAAAAAGAAAAAAAAATGTTGTGCATTTGATAGACCATCAGCTTCCTTCAGTAGAGTAGTAGCTAAAATTTACCATCACACCAGATATATTTAACACCAGATCAGTAGTTATATTATTCACTTTAAGGGACCATATAAATTAAATAACACAAATCTCAAAAGCTCAGAATTTGGGCTCAGAAGGCCCAAATAATAACTATATCCACTTAATAATGTTGGGGGTCACACATGTTCCCATAGAGAAGGGAGAAAAGACTCTGGCACCATTTCTTCCAGCTCCTCTACTGGCCTAGTAAGGCTATGTGGCTTAAACTCAGCAGCTCTGTTTTAAAATACCCATCCAAGCTAGCTGGTTCTAAATAGAACTAATGACAGCCAGAAAAGAAAGGCCTGTAGGAACTTGCTCTGACACAGAGCTGGTGTCTATAAACAGATTAGTAGTAGGGAGCAGGGTATCTCTCTACTGCCATAAGTTTTAGGTGTTGGCGGGTGCATGAAATAAAATCATAGGAGAAGATGACCTTGGACACAGCCTCCCCCTGTGTACAGATAAATAAGGCAATGAGAGTTCAGTCTGCCTCTCCATATGCTTGTATTCAATGAATCAGTTTAGTTATTAATCATAAATAGCCACTAATTAAGTGTTAACGGCTTGTCTATGCGGAAAAATAATAGACTTGAAAGAAGTGGGTGAAACTTTTTATCTGAATTCTTCAAAAAGTTCAGCATAATTAATTTTTCTCTCAAATGGCAACTAAAGAGGCTGGGGTGGAGCTCAGTGGTAAAGCTCTAATGTGCTTGCCCAGCACCACAAAACAAAAAAAAAAAAGCAACTGAAGCCAACTCCATTTATCATTTGTAAGGGAATAATACAGCTAAAAAATATCCTGAAGCTATATTAAACTTACTATTTGACCTGAATTGCCAAGAAAAAACAATTTGGGTTTTTTGGGGGGTTTTTTTGACTATCATATAAGAGTTGTAAGAAATGAAATAGTTTAAGAAGCTGGGAGTATAACTCAGTGGTTGCCTAGGCCCTGGGTTTGATCCTCAGCACAGGAAAAAAAAAAAAAGATTGAGTGCCTACCTGATATACTCAACTAATGCATGTCAGAAACTAGCCTGGGAAACAAGGCTGCACACCACACCAGTTACTACAGGCTCTACACACAGGACACAGGCAACATCAGTAGTTGTTGAAGTTCCACAGGTGATTCCAATATACAAAACATTGGGGCCCACTGGAATATAGAATGCCATTTTAACAGTAATGTCATGTCTAAGTCTTCAAGATTCATATTGTGATTATTGTACATTAATGTTTTGTTATTTTTACACTTTTCTTCATATGAATAATGTAATTGCTTCAAATGTTTCTTCTCTTAAAGAAAAATAAATGTTTTAACATTAGTCATTATTAGTCTGTTTGCCAAAATTATACTTGCCATTTTCTTGTTTTTACACATCCCCAGGAATTGGCAGCAATGAAACAGGTTCTCATTAATATGCGTAGTAAACATTCCACGAACAACTTACTTCTAACTAAAGCAGAGTCAAGAAATACAACAGAAAACCAGACATTAAAGACTTTGAATGTGCCTGGAGAACATGAAGACAATATATTTATACCCAAACCAACACTCTTTGTAAGTATAATTGACATTTTTTAGAATTTTAGCATCTGTTTTTCAAAAGATATATTTTACTTCAGTTTTTTTCCCTCTCAGTCATACTGCTTTTAAACTAATTTCAATAAGTTTTATGCACAGACTTAATTCCTTTTCTGAATGTATATATTATCTGTTTCACAAATGATGGTTGGATTTTATGTTCATATTTAACATATTGAACTTGCCCAGAAATTGTCCTAAATCCTCCAACCTCTAGGTACTAACTACACAGGAATCAGAAATGCATTGTGTACAATGTTTAACTTACATAAGAACAAAAGTATGAAAAATAGCACCTGTTCCCACTTATTTGTAAAATAATACATTTGTTCTGAATAATTTACAAAGTATAAAACCAACTCATATTAACATAAACAAGCCAAGTATGGTGGTTCACATCTGTAATCCCAGCTACCTGAGAAGAGGATGGCAAGTTTGAGGCCAGCCTGGGCAGTTTGGTAAAACCCTATCTCAAAACAATCTTTTTGCGGTACTGGGGTTTGAACTCAGGACCTACACCTGAGCCACTCCACCAGCCTTTTTTTGTGATGGGTTTTTTGAGGTAGGGTCTCACAAACTATCTCCCCGGTCTGGCTTTGAACCTCAATCCTCCTGATCTCTGCCTCCTGAGTACTTTGGATTATAGGCATGACCCACTGGTGCCCAACTTCAAAATGGTTTTTTAAGAAAAGGGAATGGAGATGTAGCTCAGTGACAGAGTGTTTTGCCAGGCATGTGTGAGGTCCTGGTTTTAATCCTCAATACTAAGGAAAAAAAAATACTGAAGTGCATTGTTAGGTAGAAATGTATGTACACAGATATTAGTCAAAGAAAAAGAAGGAAATTTTGGGTTAAAAGAAGAGAAAATAGCCAGTCATGCTACATTCCTATAATCCCAGTACTTGGGAAATTGAAGTAGGAGAATTAAAAGTTCCAAGCCAGACTATACTACATAGTGAAAGCCTGTCTCAAAAAAATAAATGACTCCTCATTGCTACTCAGGAGGATCACAGTTTGAAGGCAGTCTAGGCAGATAGTTCATAAGACCCTATCTCAAAAATACCCAACCCAGGGCCGGGTGCAGGTGGCTCAAGCCTATAATAATCAGGAGGCAGAGATTAGGAGGATATCAGTTCAAAACCAGCCCTGGCAAGTAGTTCCATAAGACCCTATCTCAAACAACCCTTCACAAAAATAGGGCTGGCAGAGTGGCTCAAGGTGAAGGCCCTGGGTTCAAGCACCAATACTGAAAAAAAAAAAAAAATACCCATCCCAAAAAGGGATGGTGGAGTGGCTAAATAAATTTTTAAATCCATTACATTAGGAAATATTAAAAATTATATATTTAACAACTAATAAGAAGAATGGGGCCAGGCGCTGGTAGCTCATGCCTGTAATCCTAGCTACTCAGGAGGCAGAGATCAGGAGGATCTTGGTTCCAAACCAGCCTGAGCAAATAAGACCCTATCTCAAAAAAACCCTTCACAAAATAGGGCTTGTGGGGTGGTTCAAGGTATATGCCCTGAGTTCGAGCACAAGTACTGAAAAAAAAAAAAAAAGAATGGGTTTTTAAAAAGGCAACAGAATCAAAATAAGAGTATTTTTGAATTATACTTTCACTTCTCAGAAGAAAAATATGATTTTTACCTTGTGAATATGAGACTAAAAATCAGACTTCTGGGCTGGCAGAGTGGCTCAAGTGGTAGAGCACCTGCTCTACCTAGCAAGCAGGAGGGCCTGAGTTCAAACCCCAGTGCCACCAAAAAAAAAAAAAAAAAACAGACTTCCTCTGATATTGTGATTCAGAATCTTAATTTTTTAAAAACTCCCTAGGTAATTATACTAATCAGTCAAGTATGGAAACTACTGACGAAAGCCATTTCATTATTCACGTAGGTAATGCTACTCAAAAGTAAAAAAATTTCTTGGGCTGGCAGAGTGGCTCAAATGGTAGAGCACCTGTGTAGCAAGCAATGAGACCCTGAGTTCAAACCTCAGTGCCATGAAAAAGCAAGATTAAAGAAATTTCTTGCCAGGTGCTGGTGGCTCACACCTATAAACCTAGCTACTTAGGAGGCTTAGATCAGAAGGATCACAATTTGAGGCCAGCTCAGGCAAGTAATTCACGAGACCCCCATCTCCAAAATAACCAGAGCAAAATGGACTGGAGGTGTGGCTCAAGTGGTAGAGCACCTGCTTTGCAAGAACAAAGCCCTGAGTTCAAACCCCAGTCCCAGTAAATAAAGAAAGAAACAAACAAAGTTCAAACCCCAGTCCTAGTAAATAAATAAATAGCAAAAATTGCCGTCTAGACAGGCACTCCTACCACTTGAGCCACTCCTCCAGCCCAGAAAATTGCAATGTAAAATCAAATAAAGAACAAGCCTTATAAGAATTGTAAGAATTCATATAGCAGAAATGGAGACTACAAGAAAGAGGAAACCAAAGCAAATAAGGTCTGGGGATGTGGCTCTAGTGGTAGCACACCTGCCTAGCAATCCCAATGCCCTAAATTCAAACCCAATACCACCAAAAAAAACAAAAAAAGTAGCCTGAGATTCTGGCAGATACTATTCTGTGTCTATTATATTCTAATCTGCAGGAAAAAAGCAGACTGAATGCATACATATTAATGGGAAAATAATGTCAGATGAAAAGCACACAGTACAGCTAAATATTTAAAGCCCATCAGAACTCTTTCATCTGCTTTTCTGACCCTAGTCTGCTCCAAGCAGTAAACTAATCCTTGTGATCCTGGCCTCCTGCATTTCTGACTTTAGCTTCATAACCTGATTGAGATTCCCTGAAGTCCTGATGCAGCCAGTGTATAAGTAAGGTTTCCCTGTACCTCAAGATAAGGTTATGCAGGGCTGGTAGAGTGGCTCAAGTGGTAAAAGCGCCTACCTAGCAAGTGTGAGGCCCTGAGTTCAAACCCCAGTACCAGCAAAAAAACAAACAAACAAACAAAAAGAGGCTGTGATTGTTAATAATAAGTGCTCCAAAAAACAAAAAAGATAAGGTCATGAGTTCAGCTGTATCCTTAAGAAAACTGAGAGAGAATGCTGTAAACCAGTCAAGACTGTACATTAGCACATCATCTTAACTAAAATTAGGAGCGCAGCTATATGAAAGGCATTCTGGACTCTAACATGCTATGATTTTCTTTAGGCATCAAATTCTTGGGAATATTTTCAGTTTTGCCTCTAACAATACTTATGTTTTCCCTGAACTCTTTAATATGGAATTTGTGATGCAAATATTTCAAATAAGATCTAGCCATTTCATAATCTACAGCTTCATAGCGAAAATGAAAGCATTTCTAATTTACTTCCAGCTCCTTTGGCTGACATTTTTTTGCTGTTGGTATTTTAATTGCTATTAAATTTGGTGACAGATAGATGCATGCATACATACAGATAGATGCATGCATGCATTGGAAGTATGAAGAAAGCACACACAGGCCTGGGGATGCAAGACCCTCGGTTTGATCCCCCAGCACCACACACATACCAAAAAAAAAA